GGCCTAATCCCCAAACCCTAAACCCCCCTAAACCCGAAGCCCTGAACCCTAAACCCTGAACCCTAAACCCTGAACCCTAAACCCTGAACCCTAAACCCTGAACCCTAAACTCTAAACCCGAAAAACCACCCTAAACCCCAAGCCCTAAACCTGGAACCCTGAACCCTAAACCCTATAAGCCCTAAACCCTTTTTTGCATCCGGGCTTGTGAAGTCCCCTTAACCCTAAATCCTAAGCCCTGCACCCTAATTTACGCACTCAATCCTAAGCCTTAAACCCTAAATTGGGATCGAGCTGTACAGGCTTTTGATCATCTTGTTTCTGGAGCTTGGGTGCTAACAAGACTATATGTTAGCTACTAGTTCACACTCGGCAATATACAGTAAAGCTAGTGACTACTCGTACGGACCGTAGCCAGATAATTCAAGGCACCACGTCCCAAAGAGCTGCGTCAGCTTGGGACAGAAGTGGCCGTAGTGACCCATCCAACTTAGCAGTGAACTTGGAGGGGCGAGGGCTTGGGCTGTGCTGTAGGTCGGTTAAGAGTTACTGTACCTTTTTATGACTGCTACTAGCAGTGAGATCTAGATACGGCGGCAGTGAACCATCAGATTTCAACCCGCTAGGCTTTCAGCCACATAATTATACTGATCCCTAACCCTGAACCTGAAGCCACCACCTCGGCCTGGACTCACTCTTAAATCTGAAGGCTGAACAGTAGATTTTGGGGCTCGGGCTGCACAGGCTTAATGTATTCGGCGGGGCACAACTTTTGAAAGAAGCTTTGGAGCGTGCCCCCAAGGCTGCAGATGTGCGTCATCGACGGGAATGTGCTCAGCAATGAGCTCCCAGGTTGCTCCACCTGATTAAAGGCGACTGGAGGTTTTGTAGCGGTGTCGGGTTAAGCTGGGTTTAAGACTCCGTGCATAGCCTAGGCGCCACCCAGAAGATATTCAGGGCTGTGCACATCAACGCCAGTATGGCGAACCGGGCAACGAGTCGGTTCGCTTCCAGGGTGCATTTAGCACCATTTCCCTCGATAGCCTTTCGTCTACCAGTGGAGGCCGAACTGATCCATACCCAACTCAGATGGACAGCATGTTCAGCGGTTACACATCTATGCAACACGGCGTCATTAAGCACATGCGTATACACGTACACACATGACTGAATTACAGGACATGACTGAATTAATCAGCACTTGCCGGAACACCTTGAGCAAGGAACGCCTGCCCATAGGACACCTCCATCCCGAACCCGACAGACATCGCGCACAGCAGTGACGAACCCAGCCGTAGATAACAGGTCGTTGGACTCCCCCCGGACCGAAATCTCGTAGTTGTGAACTCGCATACCATTGTCTCCTTAATTCTTGCACTTGCCAGGATTATTGGATGGGGCCTGGAAGCTTAGACAAGGAGGCTTGGGTCGATCGCAGGGGGCTTGATGAGCATGCAAGTTAAGTGTCTGCATGCCTTGGTTAGCATGCCTCTGCCGGAGAACATTTCCAGCATTTCGATGTCCTTAGTATATACAGCAGGGCGATATATACGTATACCAGCACGTACATTTATGATAAGCGAGGTGCCCGTTGCCAAAACATGGGGTCGTCGGGGGACCGGGTCCAGTTCAGCTGCGTCAAGTAGTCGATGACGTGTATCCTGAGTTTTTCAAACCCCAAGGCCTAATACCTGATATGTTAATTTTAGTGCACTGGTACCACAGATCTTATAGTTAACAGCCGAGTTTCATTAAAGCAGGAACTCCAATCGAAACCATGATTGCTGCAGTGCGGGCAGACACATAGAATTGTGCAGCCATGGCTAGCTAGGAGGATACACCCTGTCTTGTTTGCAAGCCTGATGCTGAAAACACTGTGCCGGTGGTACTTGCAAAATTTAGGAGCAGGTCTCACAGCACATGTTTATCAGGGCCCGGCAGAGATACATCAAATCAGCGGCGTGGCCAAGCTTCGTCGGTCCTGCATGGATTATAATGTGCATGCTTACATTATGCCTACTTATATATATATATATACGTATCATGTGTAGATGCATATTGATAAGTGTATGTGTGTATGCATGTACGTAGTGTGTGTATGCATGCATGTACGTAGGTAGGTAGGTCGGTAGCTAGGTCGGTAGGTAGGTAAGTAGGTGAGTAGGCAGGTAGGTAGGTCGGTAGGTAGGTAGGTAGGTAGGTAGGTAGGTAGGTTCGTAGGTAGGTAAGTAGGTAGGTAGGTAGGTAGGTAGGTAGGTAGGTAGGTAGGTAGGTAGGTAGGCAGGTAGGTTGGTTTTGGTGGTTTTGGTAGGTTTAAACTTTGGTAGGTATAGGTAAGCACTGCACCTGTGCAACCCCTAAGCCCACGTTGTCCTGCAGGGCCTTGCGTACGTCGCCGTGTGGAGGCCTATGGCACCTGAGAGTATCGGGGTGAGGGCTACGAGTTTAAGACAGGAAGGCCTTATTGTGGGGGTTTGGGATTCTGCGGGGTCTTTAGAATATCTGTGGTTCTAGCAGCGGAGAGTGTACTCTCCGGCGTCCGGTGTCTGAGGTCTACTAGAACTAGAGGGGCCTAAAGCGACAGAGGTTGGAAGGACTTTCGTGTTCAAGGTTGTGCTAGACTTTGAAGCATAATTATATATCAGGAGCGGCACCTGCGGGCTTGGTTTGTGGGGTTGTGTCTTGGGGTCTAGCTTGCACCTGTAGGCTTTCTTTAGAACTTTGTGGTGTTCGGGGTTTTGGGTTTCGGTTTAGGCCTTCAAGGTTTATTAGATCGAAAGTTGTGGGTTGAGGAAGCAGTACTGGAACTTGTTGAATGTTGGATGCTTCCGGTTTGGGGTGGGGCTTCACTTAATATTCGAATTTATTTATGCTTGAAGACTAGCTTTAAAATGATATGCTAGGAGTTACCCAGAACGGTGTATTACAATAGCACTATATAGTGTTATATATATATATATATATACTAGTGTTTATATATATATATATATTAATTTAAATAAGGGATTGAATCCATAAATCGTTGATCCCAAACTCGTAGACCTCTTAACACTTCAGGCCTTGAAAAACCACAAAGCCCGAAGCAAGCTTGACTCACCCTTGGGCGTCAGCCTATGTAACTACATATATACATATAAGACAGAACTACTTCCCTAAACCCCCCAGATATCGACGTAGTCGAGATGCCGGGACCCAACCGGCAACGACTTGGGCGTACTCCCAAGCAGCCTTCCACCCGCCGTACTTGCGCTGGGCCAGGCTGGAGCCTTTTTTGTTGTTGATTCGAATGCCATTGTAGGCCACGAAGGACTTGAGGACGTAGAGCTGATTCTCGTACCACCTGATAACTCACATGTACATGCTCACTACTAATCAATATTTAACTCTCTTGACAGCCAGATAGCATTCAAACCCTAGCAGAAATAAGCCCCCGGCCCAAACCCCGAATCCTGAAAAAACCCTACCCACAACCCTAAGCCCTAAGCCCTAAAGTTTAGCTTGAGCCACCGGTCCGAAGCTTTAAAATTAGCCAAGACACAGAACCTGAATGCCCGCAATGTTTTCCGGGTCGGTGGGGTTCGGGGCATGCTCCGGCTGAATCGTAAAGCTTTTGGTCTGTCCGTGAAACTTTTCAGGGACGGGTATGCCAGCTTGCAGCAACTCCACTGCCTGCGAGCATCCGAAGCACTAATATTAACTATATTGTTGATATCGAGCAAAAAATAACACTCTATGACACGAGGCTTGCCTGGCCTTCGTCTGCCAAAGGGCTGCACGTGGGCTGTCTTCCGGGGTCGACTTGGCTACCGGTGGCTTTTTCCCCCGACCTAGCTTCTTTGCGGCTTCCTTCTCGGGTTCTGGCTCCTGCTCCTCTGGTGCCTGTTCGCTGCTTGGCTCTTGCTTCTTTGGGGCCTTTTTGCTGCTTGACTCTTGCTCCTTTGGGGCCTTTTTGCTGCTTGGCTCCTGCTCCTTTGGGGCCTTTTTGCTGCTTGGCTCCTGCTCCTTTGGGGCCTGTTCGCTGCTTGGCTCCTGCTCCTTTGGGGCCTGTTCGCTGCTTGGCTCCTGCTGCTCACGGCGGCCACGTCCCCTGCCCCGACCTTTGCCCTTCGTTTTTGCTGCGGTTTTGGCCTGCTTTTCTTCGGCGTCCTTCACTACTTTGGCTGCCGCCTCGAGCCTCGTCTTCTCTCTCACCTGCTGACAGAATCGGGCTTTTACGCTGCAGTGCATGAAAAAACAACAATAGAACCACACCCGACACTGAATGCATGGGGCACCTTGCGCTGAGCCTGGACCAGGTCGACTGCCGGCTCCGACATATTGGCCTGGATCTGTGCCGAGAGGCCGGGGAGCAAATCTTCGGGGAGCTCGGGCTGCACAGCTTCGATAGGAGGCCGCATAGCCTGCACGATGCCAACACAATCACATTAATAATATTGTGTTCTCGGACTAGTTACTATGTCGATGGCTGGCCTTGTCTGCTTGCCTGTTGTTTCGACTCTTGGGTTCTGCCGGCTTCTCAGCTGTAAAGCTCTCCCAAAACTGCGGCTGTGTCTCCATCTGCGACGGGTCGATCACCTGAGCGGCTTTTTGGCAATGTATGTGCATGTGTATATCTAGATATCATGGGAAAACTTAATAGCTGATGCTAAGGTTCGTTTGCTCCAGCATTTTTAATCGACGTGGGCTTCATCGGCTCCTGTAGTGCAAGGCTTCAGCAGTTTTGGAGTCTTTGGATTGAAGAAGAGCTTGGCCCGGCTTCGCAAATAACAACATATACTGGCTATGATATTTTTCGGGGTCGGGGATCGATATAGGTGCCTAGATCTAGCTGGTATTAACTGGCTGTGTCCTCGGGCACATCACTGTCCCCCACCATATCCACATCCATGTCGGTCTCGGAAGCCGGCACGGAACTGGTCGGGGAGTTCGGGTCCTGCAGCATTCAAGTACTGACTAGAACGTACAGGAACTGCCCAAAATTCAACCCTGCAGTCTCGCTGCGGGGCCTGGAGCATTGCCTCGTTCAGGCTATCCTCGATGACTTGGTCGACATCGTTGCCTGAGAGGGGTTATATATGGTATCGCCGTAACTTTTATTCAACTATGTTGGGCCGGGAAGATCTAGGATAAAATCTCAACAAGGCCTTACACCCTAAGCCCTTGATAGACCCGAGGCCATATCCCAGGCTTCCCAAGTTAACTTTCAAACCTGTACCGGTAGCGCTAAGCCTTCCTTCTGAATATCCCGGACATGAACCCCTAGATCAAACTACAACCACTCTTGAAACACCCGTACGGTGGCACCGAGGCCAACTTGCTTCCCTAAGTTCACAACCTTGCATATCTATATTATATGTGTATAATGCAATAATTATATATATATATATATGTACAGACTCTAAAGACCTCTGAGTATTTAGACCTATAATTTACCTTTGACCCTGCTGTAAACCCTGGTTTTACAGCTACCAGGCTCAAAGTACAGGAGCTCCAGGAAGATTTCGATGTGTATCATTTAAGGCACTCGCTCCTAGGCCTGGCCTCCAGCCGATCCTTCCAAGCAAGCACGCACGATCTCCTTGAGCATGCCGACTTGTGGCCTCCTCGGCTAGAATCGAGAATAACTGCATGGCACAATAAGAAACCCTGCATGGCTCGCTTCGTCGTAGTGCAACATAGCTACCGGCTACCGTTGGAGCGACGGGTCAAAAGGAGTGCATGGATCGCCATAGCCCGCATAATGCCAGCCTCTGTCGAGGCCCAGTCCTTCCAGTAGTCGCTCATACTAGATCTAGCAGAATGACGATACACGTCGTGATGTGTCCTTCAGCACCTTGCGCTTGGTTCCCGCTGGAAACAAAGCGTAGCGGTGGCACAGGATGTGGAGCACCACCTGCATCGCATGTGAGCAAGTTCATTATTCTAAAATTGCCAAAACACGCACACGACTCCCGACGTAGTACTCGGGAGGCCTTGTGCGTTCGAAACTTCGGAACACGAGCTTGGCAAGTAGCGATGTATCCAGCCAGGAAGGAAAAGTTGCGCTCAACCTCACAAAGTTATATCAAACCGAGCAGAGCGAAATATGAGTAGCATCGCCGGATAAATATTGCATCAGAACACCATGGTCACACTGTCAGGTCCTTCGTCTGGAACCTTGAAGAGGCTTTTGGCCTTGGCTTGACCCGAGTGATACATTATAAGCTTCACAAGCATCATTCAGGCTAGCTGCCTTGCTTTCTCGAATACCAGGCAGCGTCTCCGGGCTTTCCGTGAGCCAGGTATTCAAAAAGTCCTGAGGAGGCGCAGATATTTGCATAGATGACTGAATTCGCTTTATATATATATATATACAGCTTGCTGACTAGAGTCTTCAAGCAAAAACTGATGCTCCCTGTCTGCTGGCGTTGTCGGCATGAGGTCCTGAGCTTGTGTGTGCATAGAGCTCGTACAGTGCGTGCGTGGCTGGCCATTATAATAATTAGTCGAGCTTCCGGAAGCGGGACACCGGCACAAAATTGGGTTGCCCACACGTATAACTTTAAACTCAAATGCTGCGATTACACACGGCGTGCGACAGTGAACTCAGAAGGATTTGCACGGTACCGGCTGCAGTGGCCTGCAAGAACCGCCTGCTTCGAAGGCGACGGGGAGCGATCATCAGATGCTCGTAGACCCTCGATTCGACCTGAAGCCCAACATTAACTATGCTGTGCACTCGCTCTTAACTAGCTACGTGCACAGCGATCATTCAACAACTCAGTTGCTGGCTTCTCGCTGTAGCTCTGTTCATGCTGAAGCCCGGGTTTGCAAACGAGCGCCGACATCCGAAAGGGTGTCACTGGCAATCTAATACGATCGAATATCTTAAGTAGCTTGGAGATTGTCAATATATGTCTGTGTATATATACATGACCACACAATCGGAACCGGTTTAGGGTTTAGGGTTTAGGGCTTAGGATTTAGGGTTTAGGGTTTAGGGTTTCAGGGTTTAGGGTTTAGGGTTTAACTTGATCCTTCTTGACTCTGCCACTTCCGGGGCGTCTCGACCCACGTGCCTGCGATTCCCAGGAAATGGAGCGGGATTTAATGGAAAAGATGGCCCTATATTCTACCAACGCTCACAAAAAACATGGTCATAGCCAATGATTCTACCAACGCTCACAAAAAACATGGTCATAGCCAATGATCACAAATTTCGCTGACATTGCAATGTTGGCAAATTTTGCTGACATGGATCCCCAGGGTACGACTTGAACCCGCATTTGATGTTTTGCTTTCTTAATCTAGGCTCCTGACTGTCACTGCTTGCTCCCGACAGGTTGTACACCTTCGATGAATTCAACCGCAAACCGCGAAGCACGCCTTGTGCAATCCTGGCATCCCAGCACTGCCGCGCCAGACGACCATGTCTCGTCGTTCTTCACCGAAAGAGGATGACAGAATATACAAAAGTGCCAGGGAGGCTATTGCCTCATCTTTGAGGTTCTTTGGCGGCAAGCCAAACTGCTTCATCCATTTCTGGAACCTCAAGGGAGAGACATGCAATTCATGTTGCCAGGGACAGAGTCGCCATAATTTTCAAGCTCTCCCGCCACAGCCTCTCGAGATGCGGGACATCCCCGACGGGCAACAGCAGTCAATACGTCTCCGTTCCGGTCGCGATCCAACGTGTTTGTTGCCAATCCCTGCATGTTGTGGCCTGCAGACACTCAAATTTGTTTCTGCAACTGCCAAAACCTGACTGAGAACAAAACCCTTGAAAAAAAAACAGGCCTCAAGCCCTACTACAGGGTTTCCTTCTTATAATCATAGTATAATATACCCCAGAACCCTATTCTAAATATTCAGGACCCTACATTAACGAGCTCTCAGAACAAGGTCAAGAATCCCCAATCCTGCGTCGAATCCCCCCCTTCCCCTCCCCCTAGGTACCCCCAAGACCCTAAACGCCTGAAACCTCCCTACCTGGACCCCAAAATTTCAAAAGTATGTAGAAGCCAACGAAGTGGTCAGAGCCCAGGACCGAGATGTGCAGGGTGCTGGATAACTCAATTTCTTAGGCCCGTTTCCTCAGCCTACGCGTGCGAATCCCACAAGCGGGTAAGCCAGTGGCACGGGACATCTAATTCCCAAGTGCCTTCATGACTTTCTCCCTAACCTAAGACATAATGCCTGAGGTCCCGGCCACGAAATGTCCTAGTTGCTTGCACTGCGGCTGCTTTCAAACCCCAAACTACTCACCTACATCGTCGTCCGTAACCCAAGCATCCTGTCCACACTTGGTTTGGCTTGCCATGGTTCACTTCTACGACAGCGGAGTAACCTATTGCACAACAATCAAACCTATATTACCGAACTTGGGATGCTATGTCCGCGTGGCCGACACAGTGCTGGACAGCCGTGTCAACCTCCCGTGTCAACATCCTGCAATCCTGAGCCTATGCTATGGTGTGGCCTCTCTGAAAAGAGACAGAGGACTTAGAGAAACGCTACTCTCTCTACATAGTGCGGCTGGTGTCTGCAGGGTAGAAGATTTGAGCTGCCCGTGCCATGGAGCTTGCAGAACTGTCAATGGCCAGTTGCCGGCGAAACCCAGCGATCTCGACCGGCTGGTAAAGCCAGTCCAAATCGGTGTCCTGAAGCAACCCTAAAGCCTAAACCCCTAAACCCTAAGCCGATGGAGTGCTCGAAAATGAAGCAACCCTAAAGCCTAAACCCCTATATACCCTGAGCCCATGAAGTGCTCGAACAGGTGGTCGGCAACAACCGAGTCTGGCTCACCGAAGTCCTCGCACAGCGGGAGCCTCCCATCTGGAAGAGCTTCGGCTGGGCAACTCCACGGGCGGCTGGCAGATTCTGCCAGGCACATTCAAAAGCCGAAAGCGTCCTGCATTTCCGGTCAGCCATTGAAAAATGAACACAACACTAGGTAGCATTATTAGGGGTACCCCTTGAAGGGTACCCCTTCTGAACCCTACTTCTGGCCCTCTTCAAAGGGACCTTATTGAGAGGGTCTATATCCCCAAGGGTCCCCTAATCCTAGCTCCCAAACACCCCCTAAACCCTAAACCCTAAACCCTAAATTGAAAAATGAGCACGAGACACTAAACCATCAACACGTCTTGAAACCGCAAACCTTAAACACAAACCCAAAAGCCCGAAACCCCCAAACCCCGCAACAGAGCCCTTCTGGTCCTTTAATTAATAGCATGGTAGGGTATGATAGAGAGAGGTTGGGAGGTCGAGGTACCCTAAACCCTAAAGGGCCCTAAACCCTAAAGGACCATACAGGGCCCTAACCTTAAACTACCCCAAATGGCCCTAACCCTAAACCCTAAACCCTGAAGGACCCCAAACCCTGAACCCTGAACCCTAAAGGGCCCTAAACCCTACCTTT